CACAGAGAAAGCTCAATATATTCCTTTGTTTTCCTGTGTCACGACGAAAAAGACAAAATTTGCCCTTTTTTTGTTAGATTTTAGTACAATCATCTTTTGTGCCAGAAAAACACGTTTAAGCCGAACCGATTTATTCTGCCCAAAGAAAGGATGCACCGTCAACACTTCTCGGCGTATGTTGTCCTTTGTATGCTCTCAAAATCTCTTCTCTAACTGAAGCATGTTTAGATTTATTTAAACGATCACCTCTACCCAAAAACGAACAAACGATAAAACGCGGCGAAATTTCAAGAATATTGGAAACTTGGAAGGTTTTGACGACGATGATGATTATCATAGTCAAATGAGTAAGAACAAAAATAAAGCCTCTATTTGTCTGTTTTTACCTAAATCTTATGTCACAAAATGACTCGTCCATTTAGGCAATATACATTGGCCGAAAGACGATATCAATGGGGACGATGATTTGAATGTATATGATGAATACTCAACAAAAGCAGCAAAACCCAGAAGACGATGGCTTCGAGGAAGGGGAAGATCAATAAGATGTTGTCGAAGAATGGGAAGAAGAACATGACGAAGAACCACCTGGTACAAAGCTTTTTGTGCTTCTATTATTCATTTTGTCTACACTCATTTTTATCATTCCAGTTCCAAGAAAAAGAAAAAAGTTCTTTTTGTCAAATGATAATACCGATCAATCATCTCTGAAACGTGATCATTTACAGTTATTACGTCAAAGTAAAAGTTCTTTTTTCTCTGGCGTCAGGCTTTGTATTTGTATTGTTTCTATTCTAGATATTGAAAATGTATCGACGAAATTGAATAACAATATTCAGGAGCATATTGGCAACATTTAACAAGAAGTTTAAGCGTTTATCAGCTGTCTGTGCGCAATCAGCATGTAATTAGCTTAAAAAGTGATGCACTGTCTTTCACGCCGTCTTTCCAGTTGCAATCGAACGTTTCTCAATATCAAGGTGATCAAAATGAGAAATTTCCTACAATTGTGGTAAGTATCTTCCACGTGCATTTCCTATGTATTGTGGCCTTTCACTATTGACGTAGCATAAGGACGTATCCTATGAAATTAATCGATGTACATACCAAGATTTTATCGTTTCAGGAATTCAGGGGTGAGAATCTCTTGGATCATTTCGCAAAGGACTACCAAGACGTATGCAAGAGATGTTTTGAAGAAAATATTCACATTAGACGAATTAGCCGAATCAATCGTATTAGAAAATAAGAGATTTTTACGACCTCCATTAGAACCTGTTCGATTTAGAATACTGAAAGGTATAGCTAATTTCTATCAAAGAATCACTAATATTATTTTCTTTTTTAGATGCTATTCGTTCAAAGTACAGAATAGCATTGAATCATTGGGATCCATTTTACAAAAATGGTCTACAACGAACGTTATCGCAATTATTATGTGATTCAAGAATAAAGTTAAAGAAGCAGCAACAAATAATGTTATCCATGCCGCTACCTCCAGCAGCAAGTACAACGATGGACACAGACAGTCAGACACACTAGATAAATCGATTTTTTTCCGTATTCTTTTCATTGTTGATTTTATTTTACTATTTTTATTCATTGTTAATTTTTATAAATTTTAAATAAACGAAATTTTAATAAACGGAAAAGAAGCCGCAGCCTAGCTGGATAAAAACAGTAAGAATCATGTGTTATTTGTACGTAAGATCGTATCTGATCGTACACAATCATACGTACGATCTTTTGGAATCATAACATTTCGTACGTACGATCTTGCAAGATCAGATAAGATCGTACGTATGATTGTTGTATGAATCCTATAATCGGAACCCTGTGACTTTTCCGGGCCCACGATTCGTAGGTCGATCGTACCATTTCATATGTATGAAATAATATGATTATTCAAGATCATATCTGCTCATGTACGATCATACAGTATGATCATGTCTGATCTTGTACTTATACGATTCTTCGACCTGAGTCGTTTCATTCTCTATAAAAAAACATATTGAACACTTTTTTTATATACCCTAGAAATAAAACACTATATGTGAAATATTGCGAAGCTTCAATTTCCATTACTTTCAAATCCAACAGATAACAAAAAGATATTTATTTTAAATGTCTTTATTTTAAACAGTTAAAGCTTTAACGATGAAAATTGAGCGAGATATTAACGAAATACTGAGACCGTCATTTATTCTGGGACACTTTACTTGTTAAAAGCAGCTGCTGTTAGTATTTTATCAATTGTAAAATTTTGAATGACTAATTCTGAAGTGTTGAAATTTCAGAAATTGAAAAAAAACTCGATGCTAATTTCTGAATTCTTTCTGTCAGATCTGTGGCAGATTTTGTCAGATTACACGTAAAAATGAATGCAGAATTGCTGCTACAAATCTTACTATCTACAATCTGTACTAAAGACCTGTGAGTTGTTAATAACTGCAATAGACTTGTGAAGAATCTGTGTGAGAATTTATGCAGAGCTGTTGCAGAAAATTTGTAGATCGCAGAATGTCCTCTGTGGGTTTATCCATGTAAATATTTGCGTTTGCAAAAACGCATTTGAATATATTCGGAATAAAACATCAGGACACATCGAAAGGCGTCTAATAAAAAATGTGTTATATATTCAATCCCAGATCGAAGAATCGTGCTAAGGTCGTGCAAGGACGTATGAGAAGTAAGAAGTGATATGATTCCCTATAGTATAATTTTGGTAAGGATCTGGTTATAGGACGTAAGGTGTTTTCTACGAAATCGATCAGTATGATTCGTACAAAATCGTTTGGTAAAAATTGTACTTGTTCGTGTCGTACCATATGATATGATTTGAGTGGAAATCGTACTCTTGAGATTATTTCTCTGCTTTGGCCCCGATTCATACTTGAAATGCTTGAAAAAGCTTAGATTCTTGTTTGTATGCGTTTTTCACCCTAGTGAATATACTTGAGATCAGATACTTCGCTACTTACAAATTTTCTAAAGTACTTGGTTAAGCACTTGTCAAGCATTTTTTGAATTAATACTGCAAAAGACCTTGGAAGAACTGTGGATACTTGGATATATTTCGCAAGTACTTATCAGGTCACCTGCCAAATACTTGACGAAGTACTTATCTAGTACTTATATTTGTTAAATTACTTGATAAGTACCTTTTTTACTTGCAAAAAGCTCCAAGTACTCTGGACGTTACTTACCCAAGTACTTTTCTAAGTACTTGGTCTCAAGTACATTCACTAGGGCTAATATTAGAAAATGCCTTGTGGCTTCAGAAGCTTCAGGTCGATTTCAAAGTTCACTGAGCGCCTTTTTACGCTTATTGTTTATGAAAGAATAATTTACATTCCTTCCTGATACTAGGCGAACATAGTAGACATAAGAATTTAGCACTTTCTCTTCACTTATTCTACCTTACCTTATTTACTATCGCCATATATCCACATCATCTTAACTTACCAAAGGCTGAGAATACTCAGAGATGTTTAAATTTTCCAGTTCTTCTGACTTCGCAACGAAAGAAAATTTTTTCACTTTAATTAAGAGATTGAGAGAATACTAACACGGAAAGAATCCTGTACACTAGCTAGATAAAAACAGTACGAATCATGTGTTATTTGTACGTAAGGTCGCATATGATCGTACACAATCATACGTACGATCTTTTGGAATCATAACATTTCGTACGTACGATCTTGCAAGATCAGATAACGTCCGATAACGTACGTATGGTTGTTGTATGAATCCTATAATCCGAACCCTGTGACTTTTGAGGGATCTCGATTCGCAAGTCGATCGTACCATTTCATATGCATAAAGTAATACGATTATTCAAGATCATATCTGCTCATGTACGATCATACAGTATAATCATGTCTGATCTTGTACGATTCCTCGATCTGAAATGGTACGTGGCGCTACACTTGTGAGCTACTGGTTGTTACTGTAACCAATCTCTCCATCAATAATAATTACTGGAATATCTGTAAACTGAAATAAAAAGAAAATATCCGCAATTCATGTACACGTACGTAAAGTATCTGTACTTTTTTTATGACGTATCATTTTAGTTGTCATTCTTTTCTGACGTCCTAACAGCAAATTTTCTTCTATTCTGAATCAGTTAGAATATATTCTTTTGCAAACAATCTAATAATTTAGAAAGCTGATAGAAATTAACTTATCCAAAACCAAGGCTAAAAAAGGCTGGCTGTCATTAAACACACAATGCATACAAGAAGGAAAAAGATAATCGTTCGTATATACGATAGCATTCATGATAAGAATTGAAATTATAATAGAATTTTCCACTTTATACTAAAACACAAAATGAATGCTCCACAAATATTTCCCAAACAATCTTCAGAGAACAATTTGCATTGTGGGTCATACAATTCCACTGTATATACGGAAAAGAAAGTTATGGATTGATTCTGCACTTTCACCTTCCGTATACCATCAGCTACTGCAAGTGTTAAAAAGTTTTATTTCAATTAACAAACTAGGAAGGTAGAAAATGTAAAATTACTTATAAAAAAAGACTGCTAGTGTTTTTAATGAGAATTTTTTCCAGAATGGGACTTCCCACTTTGCTTTGAGTACCAAAATAGACTTTTCTAGTTTCTTCTGAAACCCATAGTGGAAAATTTACATGGTTTAACTGTTACTGCTAAGGGATTAGTTAAAAAAAAACAAAGTGAGAATCCACTCAAAGTAAAGTGGAATACAAACTGGAATTTTTTCCCTCAGAGTAGGCAATAGATGAGAAAATCATTTTTCAAAGTGGGAATCTACTTTGTTCTCAGTTATCTCATCGATCATTAAAAACAGTGAAGACTTCCACCTTGTCGAGAAAGAATAGAAAACAATCATAGAGCCACTTTCTCAAATGATTATCCTCAATTACTTAGATCTCTATGTTTTTCCTTTTTTAGATTCGTTTTCCATGTTGTTATCGTTGTTAACAGATGATGTGTTCGTCGAATTCCTTTAATTTCATCTTTTTGTTGTCTCGAATCAGTTTCTTGCTCAGTTATTATGGAACAAGCCGATGATTTAAAAGCATTTGAACGTCGTATGATTGAAATCATTCATTCGTTACAGCCTTCTATATGGCGTTGGCGTTTTATTTTAATTCTATTGATATGTGTGACTGTTTTTAGTTTATATATACTGTTAATTGATCAAACAATCACAGAATTAACAACATGGACACACATTTTTGTCAAAACACATTTTTATTTTACTCTATCATTTATCGTATTGATCTTTTCATTTATATTTGGCATTCATAGGAAAATATTCAGGTAAATATACTACAAAATGTGCATAAAATCTCCTAGAATTGTCCGATCCAAGTTCCGTTCTTCACTGTAAAAAAAACGTCATTAATGTAAAGTCGAATGCCTAGTAAGATTTCAGTTATCTTTTTCAAAATATGATCTATTATTATAAAATTGTTGTATTTACTGATAGAGAGTTGTTTGTTTTTTAGTTCATCTATAATTATTTCGAGATTTCGTTATGTGTTACAAGATTATAACATGTCATGTGATGGAGATGGACGGCTAATTCTTCGACCAAGACCCACATGAGCTATTCTCACCTGTCGATCGATACTTAATTCTTTGTTGTTGTTTTTTGTTTTGTTTGTTTGTTTATTGTTTTCTATCTAGTTAAATTATGTATGTTTCTTCCTTCTGTATACACAGAAATTGTGATACACATAACCACAGATATGATTTGGTTTCGTTTTTTGTATTTGTCAAACAAAAATATATATATTTATTATTATTATTCATGTCTATGTGTGTGCTCAACAGAGAAATCTAAATTTTAGAAATAGCGTTGTTTTTGAATAAAAAATGAAGAGAAACAAGATATTTGTCACTTGTAACATTTACTATCTGTTATCTCATTAATATTTAATCCTGATTTTGCAAATAATAACTCTTGAAGTCTGTTTAAATTTGAGATTCTTTTTGTGTGCATTATGACTACTTCCGTTGAAAATTTACCAGTATCAGGCACTGAGTCCTTGCCTGTACCGACAGCAGTACCATCATCAACTCTTATTCAACAACATTCACCTTCATCTTCTCAACAACAGATAACTCCTGTGCAACGTAAATTACAAAAAATCTTAGATCTGAAATTAGAATCGGACAAAGATTTAATTGAATCATTGAAATATTTGTCAACATTTTTCAATGAAAATAGCGTTCGAACAAGACGTTCACTCAGAAGTACAATTGAAAAACGAAGTTTAACATTGAATGATCAATTTGAAGAATGTTTTAGAGTTGTAAAAGAAGTACGCTAAAAACTTCTTTGATAACAACAAAAAATATTTTACATTTTTGTTTTGTTTTAGCAACTAGACGATTTAAATGATACCGTTACATCGATGTCAAGTTGTTGTGAAGATATGACGCAACGATTGAAAGTGAATATTATCCATAGTTATTGTCTTCGAAAAGTGACATACGACTCTTTTTGTTCAGGATGTTAAAGCTCAAACACAAGAGTTAATAAGTAAAACAACTCAAATTCAAAATGAAAAGTAAGAATTTAGAATATCAAATAAACAGACTGTGTAATTTAATATTTTATTATTTTTTGCAAGTCAGGAACTTAGTATCAAGTCAAAAATAACAGAACGTTTCATTGAACGTTTTCAACTGAAACCAGAAGAATTAAATGCATTGAGAGCAACAAAAGACGGTTATCTTCATCCGGTATAAACTTAATAGAAGATTAGTATTTGAATTTTTTCTACATATTATTTTTTTCTTTAGGATTTTTTCAATGTATTGAAGCGTGTCAAAGCTATTCATCAAGATTGTAAACTGTTATTGAGAACAAATCAACAAACAATTGGGTAAGTGTGTGCAATAATATCCATGACTATTTTTGTAAATGTATCAGATCTACATTATGTAGTTTCTGTCAAGTTTTTCCACCTTATTCCTTAAAGTACATGCTTTACCGTTGCACCATCACTAACAATTTAGCTTAGAAATAATGGAACAAATGGCATTACATCAAGAATCAGCATTTGAACGTTTGTATCGTTGGGTTCAAAGTAAGCAGTTCCGCCGATAAATATAATTGTGCTATATTGCACTGCGTACTTTTGATTTTAGGTGAATGTCGTCTATTAACAAACGACGTACCGGATTTGTCAACTCTTCTTAGCCAAGCAGTAGAAGCATTAAAAGAACGACAAGTTTTATTTAAGTAAGTAACTTCGTGAAAATCAGAATAGATCAGAAAAAAGTGTTCTTAACGTTTTCCTTTCGAGCCATTGTTGCTCCATGACTTTTTATCTCACTTAGCTCGAATGTTCTAGATGTTCAGTAACTATTTATGTTTAGATATGTTTTGGATGAGTATGGTCTCGCTCGTCGTAATGCAGTTGTTCGCGGTTTTATCGATGCTTTAACGCGGGGCGGCCAAGGAGGAACACCTCGTCCAATTGAACTGAGCTCTCATGATCCATTGCGTTACGTTGGTGACATGGTGGCTTGGATCCATCAAGTCACAGCATCTGAAAAAGAATATGCAGAAATTCTATTAAGAAAATTATCTGATTGGAACGAATTAACAAAAACTATACAAATATTACTTGGCTATATTACAGAAGGATTATGCAGGTAATTTACTTGTAATCCCCTTCCCCCCGGAATAGAAGGTCATGGCCTTCTATTATGGTTTCGCACATCGCACTTTTTTTGGTGAACAGCTACCCTACCCTTTATAGGACGTTTTTCAAAAATTTTCGCTCCAGATTGACCTTCTAATATGGAATGGTCTTCTATTATGGGGAGGGGGAGGGTACTTTAATTAATATTGCAAATAAAGTTGAGTTTTGTATATTTAGACCACTTCGTGTTCGACTTGAACAAGTGCTTGTATCCCAACATGAACCAGTTACCCTTTATAAATTAACAAATTTATTAAAGTTTTATGAATCGACAATCAAACAACTGTTACCAAATGAATGCCAGTTAGTTCAAGTTTTAGATGAAGTCAGTAATTTATCATCGAAAATGTTTCTAAACACGTATGTAGTATGGTTCTATTATTCACTCTGAATATACATAGGCGGATAGAACCCTAACATGGTTTGAGACCCCATACTGGTGGAGGAGCTTGTAAAATGTTTTCCCGATCTGTCTACCCGTTGGGGTGATCATGCAGTATAAACGTTGGAGTTTCTTGCAAATTAAAAAGAACGCGTAATAGATTCATCGTAATATGCGCACTGACGATCCACTTCTCTGACCATTAATATCCTATTTATAAATTTTGTTCGATATGGCTCTATTTCTGTTTAACTCAGTAGTAATGAAGTTATTTTCAAATATATTACAAGCGGAAAAAACAATCTTGCTTAAACACACATATAGTTGATTAACAGTTTAAATACTCTAATTCAAAACACTTATATTTCTCGAAAAATTTTGAGAAATTCCGGATATCTACAGGTATGGATACGAACGCGGAGGTTTCAAAAGTATGCTACGAGTGTTGGCATTGGATCACCACTGCTTCGGATTTCAAGAAACTTAGACCGGCGAGACTCTACAGGAGGGTTCATACATTCCTTATTAATCAAAAGTAAACAATCTACATATTAGATCTCAGTAAACCAAGAAAAAACTACCATAAAAAGTTCATTTCAATTAACTATCTCCATTTGTCGTTTTTTACTTTATGATTCTTTCATTTTTGTTTAGTTTAAATGCCAATGCTACTCGTTTAATTGAAAAAGTTGACATGCCAACGCCAGATTTAAATTTATCAGATGAATTACGTCGTACATTAGCATTATTAAAAGATATATTGGATACCCATTCAACATCAATGATTCCTTTTGAAAGTAAAAGAATTGATTTTCAACAAATTGTTTATTCGATTATTGATCCACTACTACAAATGTGTGCGTTATCAGCAGCAAAATTAGGCGTCGTAGAAATGGCTGTCTATATGATCAACTGTATTAGTGCTATTAGAACAACATTAGCTGTATTCGCTTTTACAGATGAAAAAATTGAAATGTTAGAAGGACAAGTACGCTTTGATAATCGGAGAACTTTTGATAATGGTAGTATAATTGTTACTTTTGTTTTTAGATTGAAGCGAATACAGATGCATTGATTGGTGAACAAGCTAGTTATATATTATTACGTACTGATTTGTTGGACGCTTATCGTCTTATTGAAAAGCATCAAGAAAATCAAGGCGCTTTATCTTATAAACCAGGAATGGATATGATTACATTGAAAGCTGCTATGGTATAATTTATCGCTGATTGCTTTACTCGCGTACATAATATATTCTATTTTTCTATTTAGAACAAGTTTGACTCTTATCTTTCCACGCCAGACATGTTTACTATGCCACAAATAAAATATTTGGCAAGTGCCGTTATAAGGTAAGCAAAACATTTATAAATATGATTGAATGTTTTAGGCGTTTCTGACAAACTACTCTCTATTTTTTTTTTCAAGAGAAAAAATTAAAAAGCGTTCTGTTGAATTAGTGTGTGAAGCATATGCCACATTATATTCGGCTATTATTGATCAGAAAAATTTATATTCAAATCCGTACAGTATCGTTCCAAGAACACCTGAACAAATTGTAAAATTACTTTCTTAGAATAATGTTGCTTTTTATTTAATGGTTTTTTTTTTTTTTAACTTAATTTATTGAAATAAAATAGCCGTATTACTACTTTTTGTCTAATAATCTCACTGTTAGCTTTAAATAAAAAATAATATTATATTTTGTTTTTAATGTGTCTGTTCTTCCACAATAAAACATTATAAATATTAACATTAGAATAAAACAATGTTCAGAATAGGCCATCTCAGAAGAAGGGCTAACTATAAAAGAAAAGTATTTCTTGACATCTAACTCTCTGTTTATTCTGCTTGTTTCCTGATCAATTGGTTTCCCGAACTTGTTGATAACGTTGTGTAAATGTATATAATCTCTGAGCTTCTTCTAGATCAACACATCGGTTAAAAGAACTCATGGATGTCGTTGAAATACTCTACCTTCTTTTCTTAATTTTAAAAATCCTTCTCCATGTCATATTTTGCATACATTCATATTTAAAGCGGTGACAGTTACGTTGATAGAACGTCAAGAAAACAATTAACAATTGCCTACAGATATGAGCAAGAATATGAAAGAGAAATTTTCGGTTTCTCTCATCTTCGTTTCATATGTGTTAATGCTTCTACATTTCTATGAGCATGGCGAGTAATCGACACGAACTTGAAACATGTCATTCTACTTGGAAAAATCGTACTCTGAACAGTTTATTTTTCGTCCAGACATCGCCTTTAGGAGAAAAGGAATTATTTTATGTTAAAGAAAAGATTTATAAAAGCTTCTTTTTACACAGAATCGGAACATGACATTAATTTTTCTTGAAAACGTAATGTGAAAACGAAAATTGCAAAAATACTCGTGTGACTTTTGCTCTTTTTTGTATTTTCGACAATATTTCAAATAGTTTTTCGCCAATGGATCAAACTTTTTGTCAAAATAGATGATACTTACGCAGTGGCTATAAAGTGCATTAAGCCTTAGCTGTAGTTGCATAAAACGCCATTGAACTTTTGAACAAAAAACGAAGAACGGGCAGTATTGATTCTTGTCGGTTAACTGATGAAAAACCAACTGATCGTTACCGAGAGGTTTTAAGTTAGAATCCTTCACAGTTTTGTATCAGAAATGTTTCTTTAAATGATGATGAATCGAATCAGTTATTTTTGCGTTAATCAAATGAGACAGCTTAGAAAAACTTTTGACAAAACGAGATGAAATTCGTTCTTTCTCAGAACAGAATTTGAAACTAATGACATCTCAAAAATTAATTACAGAAGTGCGGAGAGACTTTATTTCTTTTTTGTATTTTTTGATCCAATAAGCGTTAAATGAAGATAGGGTGAAACAATTTTCTTTACATGAGACGAAATAACTTTTAAAACTTTTTTCGATACGATACAAAACGAAAATGTTATGATCCAAGATGAGACGTTCGAAAACCGCGTTTTATCTACCTCTGCTATGTACAATGAACATTTACGTGAGTTAACCACAGAAAAAATATCCACATACGTTTTAAATGGCTGAATTATCATTTCAAGTCAATTTCTTGCATGAGCCGTTATTTTTAGTATCTATAGAAACTAAAAGAAAAGCGAAATATATAAAAAACTATATTAGCACCAGTGAAAATAGTGTACGAATGCAAATACACATTGAGCTTTCAATTGGAAAAAAAGAAACAGCTGAGAAAAGACAAAAATCATCGAGAACATAAAGTAAAACAAATTATTGACTACCTTTTATACTGAAAGTTCCCGATCATTTAATGATGTTAACAAGACAAATGCTGTAATATTATCACGTTGTTTATTCCTTCAGAACTTCAAAGTTTTATGTACAAAAGAAAAACGAAGAAAAAAAATAACGACGATAGTTCGTGTCTATCACAAAAGTTTAAAAATTTACTTCTTTTTCGAGCCACCAAGTGGGAGACCAACATCTTTTCCTCTTAATTTGACTCCTAATGCGCGTTCAAGTTTCGACATTATTTGTTGATTCGGTATTGCTTTTCCTTGTTCATATTCATTGATAACTTGTTGTTTTTCATTAATTTGACGAGCTAAATCAGCCTGCGTCCATTCTTTAGCTACTCGAGCTTGTTGCATAACACGGGAAACATCACCACTAATACGATCATGATGTAATTCTTCTGTTTCGCGATCTAAAACGGCCGTATTTTTTGCTGCTTCATGTTGTTTATTACTACCTCCAGCAAATTTCTTCGATGTATCTATTGGAATACCGGCACGTGCAGCCGCAGCTATTGCTGCTTCACTCTTCAATTCACCCGCACGTGGAGCTCGTTTTCCAATTACTAAACATAAAAAAGAATACTTTTAAATAGTCTTCTTTCATACAGCAATATCAAAACCGCCAGTGAAGGTCAGAAAAGCCAACAATATCTAGCGCTCACGTTATTCATGCAAACACTTAATAAGGAAACAAAATAAAACTGCTTGAAGTGTGTTTTTCTACTAAATCTGTCTAAAATAAAAGTAAACCAACCTGTTGTTTGATCCCATTCGACTGTTCCACCAAAGTTTGGTGTTGTTTTTGACATTTTTTAAATGTTTTTTTTGTCAATGACTGAAAGAATGTACAAAGCGAAAAATAGTAGTATTTACTATTCGATGTGAAAAAAAATCTAAAAGTTTGCAAGTAGACGAAATATGAGTTATGATAAATAGAAGAACTGATAAAAGTACGTGATTTATAATACAAAAATAGGTAATTACACAACTACTAATAGCAACAAAGTAATTGTGAACTTATATCAACGAATAAAGGGCGTATATATATAATCTGCTACGACTGAATAACCAGTAATTACTCTTCTTATTTTGTAATTAAGAAATTTTAAAAACGTACGGTACGTCAGCTGACAATATTCTTTGAGCCACATTCTCCAAGTTTCTAGTTAAGAGAAAAATAATGACTCAGATAGCCTATTACATCAGCTGAAGTAAGAATAAAATTACAATTAAATAAGAAATATTAGTTCGTAGAAAAAAACTTTTTATAGTTCCGAATAGAAGCACCTTTTATTTTATACAGAAGGGAGGTCAAGGTAAGCTTCAATGCCATCATCGTGAGACGACCAAATCGTTATTCTATCAGGTAACCCCCAGTCCTGAATTCTTTTTCACAAACTTCGAAAGTAACTTTGAAGTAAAAACAGAAAAAAATTGTTTTAAGCAAGTTTAATCTACCTGAGTAGATTTGTCTCAAAAAGCATAAACAAAACGTTGATAATAACAAAATAGATGACGCGCGTAATCGTTATCGTTACACACCGATTTATCAGTCAAAGTATCTAGCGCCACTAACTATACTTATCATGACTTTTCAAGATTGCATTGTGTCATTGACAGATTTTTCATGAAACTTCGCCATTGTCTCGCCATCTTAAAGTTAAAAATAATCGAAATGTTTGTGCTATAATTCACGAAAAACGAGAGCCATCCAAAGTCTCTGAGAGAGACTTGCACGAATTAAGAAAACTGAACGCTTTTTGTGTTGTTGAACCTCTCAGAAAAGAGAGGTTCGAGAGATGTTATATAGATAATTCCTTATTGTTTTTTTTGCAGTTTGTTTCTCTTATGATTTTCGAACGAAGACATACCCACAGTTCGAACTCCTGAAGGAAAAGTCCTAGATAGCTAAAGAGTTGGATTTATAAGTAACTCAGTATGCTCTACAATATGAGCATACTTTGAAAAAATCTAAGATGGTCATTGAGCATTGATGGTCATGGCGCTTGTGCAGTTACACCAAAACAGAAATTTTTTTAGAAACGAGCATTAATCCTTTCTGAGAAAGGTTTCTAGCCTTCTCTCCAAAGTTTGAAGATCGGACCAACTCTGTATGGATTGGGAAATATTGGCACAATTGTGAATCCTCGCAGGTCTTCCTGTTCTACTAAATAGCAAGGGTTTGACCTTAGATATATTACATAGTGAAATACTGAATGATTTCATGCTGAAGGATCTACTACCGCATTCTTTTTTATACGTCCGCTGGAGAACTGGGGGTCGTATCACAAAAAAACTTAAGTGAAAGGGTGACTTAAGTCATGGGAAATGTAGTCTTAAAGTTAAAACCGAAAACTTAAGTCGGACTTGGGTCATTGACGCATTTTTTGAATAGATCAGGCATTTAATGATACGATTTGACGAAAACGACATTCTAAGGATTAGAGAATAAATATTTCGTTATTTTGCAGGGTCTATATGAGTCGAAGGAGATCTCAGTAATTGTATCTAATTGTTCGGTACCATAGAACCTGACGCCTTCTTGCAGTTGTCGCTCAAAACACCTAGAAATGTGAAGTATATTTTTGTTTAATTTTCTACCATGAAACATTTTCAACATTCTTAACATAGCTGTCGGCGACCGAAACGAATTAGGAAAACCTGACTCAATCCAATTCGGAACAACTTGTTGGGATCCTAAATCAGTTCTATTGGATTCGGTCTTTTGCCGAATCGAATGCCGAAACATTCAATTCGTTCTGGACTTCGATTGTTGCAGTACATCTCCTCAATACTGTCTCTTCCTTTTATATCAACAGAGTACAATTCAGTTCGTGCCAACAGCAACTATTTCTCTTACTATATAATAATGATGAAACGTCTAGATCGTTCGAAAAACGAAACCAGCCTCTCACCTTCCCACAGTCCGCTCGCAGTATCTTGGTCGTGGTGTTATCGATCAATTTTCACTTCCAGCACAAACGTTCCAGCATCCTTTTTTTAACCGGACGGTTAAAACGCCAGGTCACCATGACGTGTTATCATTAACCGTTCGGTTGGAATAAACGTCAGCTGACCTATAGTTTCCAACTTATAGGTTGGAATGTTTTAACCTCTGTATGATTTTGTATTGGGGAATAAAATAGCCAGTGGGCAGAGTTTGAGTTTGAAAAGGCACACTTTGCTAAAGAATGGTGGTAGGAATGTCTTTTAATTTATGGTCAAGCCAACGCATCCATAAATTTCTATCAATAAACGCTACAATCGCCGTAAAATTTCGAAATTTCACGTTTATAGTAGAGATTTATGGATGCCTTGGTTTATCTTCATTTATTTATTTCTCTCGGACATTTCTGATATGTAGACTGGTACATACAAATAACTCGGTTTATGTACTTTAGTTTGTATATATGTTACCTGGAATGAATTCATTGAATCAATGTTTTTAAGTAAATGAAAATTCTGATCAGAAACTCTTTGTCATTCTCGGTTTTTACAAGAAATTCGTCGTTTGTGAGATAAATACATTATTGTGGGAAGATGGCATCGCTGTGAAATTTAAATTGTATTATTTCAAAAACAACGGATTTCTTGAAAAAACCGAGAATGACAAAGAGTTTCTAATTAGAATCTGTATAATTTAAAATATTAAATACTTATCAAATTATTGATTTTTTTCTTGTTCTGTTGTTTTCTTTATAAAAGTTATATTCACAACAGTAAGGTTGTTGCAATAAAAATACAGAAACTTTATACTATGATTTGTTTGTAAATCTGTTGTAAATTTTTGTTTACTCAGTCGCAGATAATATCCGACCTGAAGTTTCTACCGACAGGTGCGCCAGTGGTGTAACCAGGATTTTTTTAAGCGAGGGTCCAACATTTTTTTAGGAAGGATTAGAGTAAAAGAAGACTAAACAAACACATGTTGCTGATAGCTGATATTTTATTCTCTAAATTCATACATCTTAAAAACAACTTTTGACAGTAACATTTTGGCAAACTGAAACTTATGATCTATAGCTAATTCAATATAGAGAATCTGAAGGGACTGCTTTTAGGCTTTTAGAGAGTTCGAGCAACCTTTATGGATTTCCCATATCAAAATGTGACGCTTTTTTTCCCGGAAAGGGAGGGGTAATTCTTTAGGTGGTGTTCTCCCACTCACTTTTTCTTTTATAAAAATAGAGCTATGTATGATAGGATGATATATACATATCATGCACGCAGACGAAAAAGGTTGAGAATGACAACGTGTACAGATAATACACGTATCAGTATCAAGTATAAAGAAATAGATATAAAAACTGTATATAAGAACAAGTATACGTGTATCTTTTAGACGAAACAAAAATAAACTTTATGTCTTTTGAAAAACAAAGTCGAAAAGATTGTAAAATAGATAGATTCAAAAAGCAAACGATTTATTTTTGCTTATTGCTTTAACATTTGAAAAAAAGAAAATTGTCGCGATATTTATTTTTTTAATCGTACAATTCAGTACTTTTTGAGGGATTGTTAGTCATCTTATCTTGCGAAACTAAGTGGCCCTCATGTTTCCCAATGATTTCGCAGCTAAAGCTTTTCGAAAATTCTTTTAGCTCAGTGCTTTTTCTTGACTCTTTGCAGAGTAGCGCAGTTCTTTTTCCAACCTAATTTAAATTCGCCCAGTTGATGAAAATTCCTAGTTGTGCCATTGAGCCTTCGTAATATATTTAGGGAACTTCATCATTCATACTAGAAACGTGATATACTGCCTGGAATGCATCATGTTCTCGAAGAAATGGCCGGGTAAAACATGATGCATTGCAATGATATCTGCAGAAGCTGAAGGAGCAGTTTTTACCTAATAAAATCACCAAAATCAAGGATCTTCATTTTTTCTTTATTAAAAACTATATTTGAAAAAGTAACCACTATTATTTTATTAAAAACCTTAGACCTTACTCCGGAATTTTTTATATATTCAGGAGTCTATGCTACACATGGGTATAAACACAGCCCTTCGAGAGCAAGCTACGGGATGGGAATGTCAAACCTGCTCAATGATGAAGTATAAACGTCTTTTCCCTGAAAACTAATTCGTTCAAGCTCCCAGGATATCCCCCGCTTATACTGCATATTTTCAGCTCGAACAAATCGTTTAGAATATTCACTTTCATTCCGAAATAGATGAGAAAATAAGTTTTTGCTAAACATATGACCGACAAGTAAAATTTAGAACTAGGCGCGGAAGTGGATGCGACTTAATATTCGTGATCATCATAGTCCATTGTGTACACAAAACGTCAACTAATTTTGGTCTGACGTTTTACCAGAATTTGAAAATTTATTCAAAAGGTTTTTTTTTCGTAGTTATTTGGTAGATATACGAAGTGTCATGCGGTCTATCGAAAGAATTTTAAACGAAACTAACATTTTATTGTTAAAAAATAAACAACGTGAACACAAGTGTGCACACGCTCCCTCGACTGCAAAGTCTTCCTCGTTACTGTAGCGAGTTCAGATAAGACACAGAACAAGTGATTTCGTTTCTACTCTACACTAAAAAAGTTCTCTTCAGAGTAAGTTATAAGACAGTTCTGCGACAGCTTAGTGTTTAGGGCCGTTATTTGGCAATAGTATATTTGTTCTAACGCTACTCAGTATAAATAGAACAGGCCTTTTCAACCTACGCATGTCGATATACCTCCGAAACACTTATCATTCACTATGCAGATGTACGTTCGTCATACTACAGGTATACACGTCTGTCACACTCAGTAGTCACTATGTGGATGTATGCCCGTCATACTACAGGTATGAACGT